ATGTCAATGGCCTCAACTCACCAATCAAGAGAAATAGACTGGCAGAATGGAATAAGAAGCAAAATCCAACAATATGTTGTATACAAGAGACACAACTGTTGCAAAAAGAAGCCCATAGACCAAAAGTGAACGGATGGAAAACAATTTTCCATGTGACAGGAGCCCAGAAAAAAATAGGGGTAGCAATCTTATTTGCAGACAAAGCAAATTTGAAACCAAAACTGATTCTCTAGTATTATAGATGTAGGACAGTACTGTATCATACCTCTGTGAATGTAAAATATCTTGTACCTGCTTTATGACACATAATAGTGACCATGCTTTATCAGAGCTATTTTTAATGTTACTCTAGAATGTTCTCTTTCTAGATGATGATTAAAATGCTAATAAAAAAATGGTGCCAGGTACCACAACAGCAACAGAACTTTGCTGTTTTCTGGGTATTATTCTTTTCTTTGTTTTTTTTGCTTTTGTTTGTTTATTTATTTATTTGGTACTGGGGATTGAACTCAGGTCCTTGTGCTTGCAAGGCAGGCACTGGAACCACTGAGCCAAATCCCCAGACATGTTTTTGTTTTTTTAATGGCGTGTGTTGAATGTCTATAATTTTGTTCAGATGACTGCAGAACCTGGAAAAGATGTTGCTGCTATTGATGCATAAGATACTGCTATTATTGGTCTTTTTATATAAATACAAATATATATTCATATATATATAATTTGAATTTTTGGAAACTTTAACTGTGCTGTCAACTTTGGAAAAAGTTATCCCAGTTTACTTTGTTGAGTTGGTATTGTACAGAAATTAACAGCCATATTGGTCTAGAAATGTTAATTGTTTTCTATTTGTACAGGGGTAATGCACTGTATTAAATATGTAAGGTCTTATCTACGTGGGTTTGATTACAGAAACTAATAAAGTATTCTCTAAATAATGAAAAAAAGAATAATATAATACTACAAGTGCAAGAAGCAACTTAAATATGTTCAAAGACCATTTTCATCTTCAGAATTAAGGATTATTTTAATTTTACATCATTGCCTTTTCTCTTTTACTTTCCTGTTTAGTTTAGGATTCCCTATTTTTAATTTTCATACCGAGATTTCTTTAACTGATCATTATAATTAAGCATAAAGCCACAAATTGCAAAGTCATATTTGCTGAATCCCAGAGTTCTAAATTGTTCATTCTACTTACTGTTTTTAGATTAGTTTATCCAAAACTTTCGAGTTAATTGTTTTTTTTATTTTATACGAATAAAGCAGAGTTAGAAAAGAAAGGACATAGAGGTTCCATTTGACCCAGCCATCCCTCTGCTAGGTATCTTTCCAAAAGAATTAAAAGAATCATACCACAGTGATATATGCACACCAATGTTTATAGTGGCACAGTTTGTAATAGCTAAAACTTGGAAACAGCTCATTTGCCCATCTGTTGGAAACTGGATAAAGAAGATGTGGTTTTTCTATAAAATGGAATACTACTTAGTCATAAAGAATGAGAAATTAGAGTCATTCATAGGAAAATGGATACATATTGAGAATATACTTTTAAGTGAAATAAATAAGCCACACATGTGTAAATACCAAATAGTTTCTCTGGTGTGAAAAACTATAATAGTACACAAGATCCTAATGAGATAATTAATAATGTGAAATAGGAAGAAAAGGGCTAAAGGGGTAGGGGAAGTGGGAAGGGTGGGGGAAAGGTAATAAGGGAGAGGAAAAAATATGAGAAAATGAAAAAATGGAAATAAAGTGTTTGTAAATGGGGAGGGGAGGAGGGGTGGAAGGGAGGGCAGGGACAAGGGGTAAAAATGAGAATCAAGACCTGTCATGTAAAGGTACGGGATCCTAATAATGAATGTAACTGTATTGTATACCTATATTGTACCAATAAACTCAATAAAAGGAAAAAAATGAACTCAGAAAATTTCATAGACTTTGATTCAATAATTCTATTTCTGGGATTTTATTTCAATATACCAACTAGATAAAATCTTAAACTATAATGTTCATTGTAAACTAGCACCACCATTATTGCAATCAGTAGGGAGAGTACTCAAAGAACTAAAGTTAGAAATTCCACTTGACCCAGCCAGCTATTCTCTTCTGAATATGTTCCCCAAAGAGCTAAAAACATATA